TCTTTCCAACCCTCTTTCACTATTATCTTCATCTACAATTGTAACTTTTTGAAAGGCATCAACCAACGTGTCTTTACTGTTGTCCAAAGCAGCTGTACTTTCTGTACTATCCTCAGTATTGCTCTGAGATACCAGTTCATCATTTTTCAGATGACTGCTCGTGGCTGACTTGGAGACGACTTCACAAAAAAGATTCTGATCTGTTGCAACAGTCTTTACTTTATCACTTTTCCTCTGAGTCCTTTGATTTTCCAGAGCTGTATTTGTGGCATCTTGCTCAATACATTCTTTCTCCTGCTTTTCGAAAGAAACCTCAGGAACTTCTTTAATATTAGAGTTTTCTTTAAAGACTGAGGAATCTTCATGGTTTCGTATGTCCTTGTTTAGGCTAACTTGCTGTTTGCTTGTCTTAATCTCCTCCTGTTTCACCTGAAACTCCAACCTGACAGCAGATAACAGCTCAGCTGTCCTTGCCAATTCTTCTTCTTGTAAAATGGCAAGCGTCAGCTTTTCAGCAAAATCCGAGATCTTCTTACCCTTATCTGGAAGCCTAGCAATGAATTTCCTAGGACAAAAAAAAAAAAGTTATTTAACAGAGTAGAAACAATCCTATTTCAATCTGATATAAGGAAGTGTTTTATTAGAATAGTTAACGTAGCAGGTTTCTTGTTGTAGCATTTTCTTTCTTACATACTAGATTTCTGAAAGGTGGTAATATGCGAAGCATTTGCAGCCTCAGATGTATACTGTGATAAACCAACTATTACATTTTTTTTCTGCTCAAAGATGTAACCGCCACTCTGAAAAGCACAGTGTGCAAACAGAGTTTAGTATTTTCATCAGAGTACAGATTTTTCTGTCCGTATTCCAGAAATAATCACGCAGTTGTTTCCGTGACCGCCCGCAGGCTGTAAACCCACCCAGACGCGTGGAATTAGGCGGCTATCCGGCGGCTGCGATGCTGACAGCCCGGGAGGAAGGCGCTGCGCGGTTCCGCAGCCTCAGGCGGCGGCAGGGAAGGTACAGGGAGGCCGGGCGGGGACGGGGCCCAAGGAGAAGCGCTGAGGGGCGGCAGCCCCGCATCTCCAGAGAGCGCCGCTGCCACGGCAAAAGCCGGACGCCCCGCGAGGTATCTGCAGCTTCATCCGCCCCCGACAGGACTCGGGGAAAAAACAGGAGGGAAAACAGGAG